AAAAAAAAAAAAAAAAAAAAAAAATTACCATGTGATTGCAATTGTGGGTTTTACGATAAAATAAAGTTTTGGTGCAAGGAGACAAATGGAGGTTTGAGTGGGCTTTTGGTCCCCATTTGAAGAAGAAATTAATATTAGGGAAAAAATATGGTTGGGCCAAACAAGAACACATCTCAAGCTCAATTATATGTGTTTTTTTCTTTTTAAAGGAACAAATTACATTTTGTATAAAGTTCAAAGCATGTAGGCACGTAGAGATTGGTCAAATGGTTATATCAAAAGCTAACTCCATACCCGTATGAACCAATAATTCTTAAAAGTCATGAAAAGAAGAGTCGATTCCATATTTGAATATGTGTTGACCAATAATTATGAGTAGTTATATAGTGACGATCGCACTTGATAATTTTTTTATAAAAAACCATTCTTGGTGGTTTTTAGGTTACAATAACCAAATAATAACAGACATGGATAATTCAACCTTAATACAAGTAATAAAAAATAATAATGACGAGATATAATATATAGTATGTTTAATTAAGTATCTTCTTTTAATATACATATGATTAAGAAGGGTTTTAAAGGAGGTTTACTTGGAGATTAAGCCAGAAAAAGAGTGAAGAACATATACAAAGATTGAAACCCATAAAATGGTGTTGGAATTGTGAAATTTGAGGGGTTGTGAACGAATGTTTGCGTTGAGGAATTTGGGAGAAAAGGGCGTTGAAGGAGAGGATTCGAACTTGAACTTGAAGGTAATGTGATGGGTTGAACTCGAGACTTCAAGCTTCCATATCTTCATCTATAATGTATGGAAATCACTCCAACTTGATTGTATGGATTTGTTAGGAGGAGATATACACTTTTCTAGAAGAAATTGGGAAGAAATAAATATCGTAAAAGAGAAATCGAGCTAGGGACATGATGAGAATTTCTAGAAAAGTTTTGAAAATTTGTAGCCGTGCAGAAGCGCTAGTGGCCGAGAGACAACAGACGTGTGACACTCGAGTAAAGGAGGGAGTACATGAATGAACCGAGACCAACTTGAATAAGAGTGATCCTATTCCTAAGATATGATGACTAAAAAATACTTAAAAGGAAATAGAAGCCGCTACTTATACCAACAAGATGCACTTTCCTTTCAATGACTTAATCGTTAGAACTTCATACGTGTTTTGTTTGAAGTAATTTTATGTTGGATGGCCTCTTGAGAAATTTTCTAAGATGCATGTGGGACTTACATAGTAATGTGACTATATGACAAGAAATATAGAGGGAATGGGTAGGACAATGAATCAAATTATGTGTTACTTCAACATGACAATGAATATTCCTAACCATCTATTCCTAACCATCGAATTATGTACTACTTCAACCGTCGGGGATTTAGTAGGAATTTAGCCCTACCCATCGATCCCTAACCATCAATTTATGTGCTACTTCAACCGCCCGGGATTTAGTTCTCTTCACTAATGTTTATATACCTTTGCTTCATTCTGGCTTAATAATTGTAGCATCGTAACCCCATTGCACAATGTTACAACGCTACTCCCTCGTGTCTTACTTAGACACACAAAACCAGTAAAATAAGTGTTGAAACTGATTAGAATCCAAGGAGTAAGGACATGATCATTAATGAATAATTCCCCCTTTTCTATATTTTCCCAACTTTCTATCCCAATTCCACAAGCATTTCTTGCTATAAAATTACACTAAAAAACACATTATAAGTATGGACTGCGAAGTTCACCATCTTCCATCAAGCCTTCGTTCAATGGCAAGCAGGGCAACGAGCCAGACCATTTTCATTACACCCTCCACATCTCTCCTTTCTCTCCCCAATTATCACTTTACAGCTTCCTCCACACTCCAAACATGGCACAAATCTTGCCCCGCCGCACCCTTCGCACCCTTGCCGCCCTGCTCCCGTCTCCACCGCCGCTCGCCGTAGTATCCTACGAAGCTTCCCCATCTCGTTCAGGGCTACTATTTCATCTGCCCCTCCGATGTACCTATTGAGTATATGGATATCAAAATTCGAACTTTATGGATGATTTTTAACATAGTATATTTAGCGGTGGTGCTTTAATATTTACCTTCCCTTCACAAACATTCTCGGCACGGTCGCCTCGTCGCCGAGCAACTCCTTGAGCTCCTTCAAAAAGTCACCGTGCAATGCCACGTCACGCTCATCGACCACGACCTGCTGCAACTCCAGCACCGACTTCACTCTGTTACAGTCCTCGAACGTCCGCCGTACGCCTCTCAACGATGTTGTATACAGCACCACCGTTTCCGCTCCTCCCGGCGGGCACTTCTCTGGGAAGTCACTTAGTGGGTCGAACCGGACCGGCTTCTGCCCCTCTCTTTCCCTCTCCTGTCTGTCCCTTAATAGAAAAATGTTCTCTTTAACGGACCTGAACCGGTCCGGATCGCCGGTTCTTGGCTCGGGTATTGTTGGCTCGGGTTTTGTCGGTCCGTTTCTGAAAGACTTGGCGGCCGGCTTGGTGGAAGACGTTAACTTGGAGTCGAGCTCTGCCACCGTGTGAAAGCTGGAGCTCTTGCGTGGGGCTTGTTTACCGACGGCGGCTGCGGCGGGTTTCGACGGCGGCGGTTCTGCAACAGGAGAAAATTCTTTATTGAGTTCAATAACGAGTAGGGAACAACGTCAAACGAAAATTGAATACCTTGGTTGGGAGTAACGGGCTTAGGAGGAGGTTGGAGCTCGCGTTGAAGGGCGGGTTTGAGATCTTCAAGAGCCTTACTGACCTCATCCCATGAGTGAGGAGTCTCAGATTCCAAACTACTGAGCTTCTCAAGGATGGGAACCGGAACAATCGCAGCTTTCTCCTCCTTCACGGGAGATGCTGGAGATTGTGGCTCCTCCACCACTTTAACCCAAGGCTCCTCGATGGCGTTTATATCGAACACTGCAAAGCTCGCCGGAGCCGGCCGGTACACATCAACGGTGGCCTCAATTCGCTTAGAAGACGTGCAGCCCATTGCCGTCGATTAATCAATTTCCCGGCAGGTGGGTTGTAGATTTTTTTGGGAGGGATTGGATTTTCAGAGAGGTGGGTTTATAGAAGGGTGGAATTTGAAATGTGGTGGGAAATTTGTGGTTTCTTTTTTGTGGCCGAGAGGAAGGGGCTTATCCGATGAGAAGTGGCGTGTGAGTGGACAGGTGGATTAGGTGGCTGTCTGCCACGTGGGAGTTGAAGTTAAGGTGTTTGTCTGTTTGATTTTGGTGGATGCCTGCTAAAGTTGGCCCATCTGTCAATTAGAGACCTTAAAACTTGAGGGCTTTTAGTGAAATTATAGAGGTAGAATTACATAATTGATATTTGGTCCTCGGTTCGGATTTAGTTTGCAATTTAGTTTTGTACTTACTAAACTAAATGCTTAAAGAGGAAAAGGTAAAAGGTATATAATGGTTAAAGAGGAAGAGGCTCCAGTCTAGTCTTACCCCATTTTCGTTCATCTCCGGGGACCCTCTTTTTGGTTTTGGGGTCAGTGCTGGTAAATGCGGCTCCTCCTCTGTATTTACCTATGGAGGGTGAAGGAACTAGAACTACAAAAAGGGACCAACAGTTGCTAACTATATATGAAAGCAAGGATTACCGTCATCATGCTGCTAACAAGCATCCATACCCAACCACTACTCGCCGAGCCCGCCTTGCGGGATTGGCAGTCACCAAAAAAACTTCAGAATTTTAGCTGATAGAAGCCTCAGAGTTGCAGTGCACATGAAAAGAAAACTCACGGCTAGCACTGCCGGTTCTTTACTTGCTAGCTTGGCTTGGTTGCTTGCAATTTTTTCAATATCTAAGCTGTAAGGAGAGACAGAGGGGAGGGAGGGGGTGTTTAAATGATGACTGGCAAAATCAGCTCATAGTAAAATTATGAAAAAGAAAAGAAAATTGATATGCCAAAATGAACATTCAGATAAATATGTTGAGGAAAAAAAAAAAAAAAACACAAATTCATGAACTCATCTCAACTATTCTTCAAATGCTACTTAAGTTGTATTATACAAACCTTTGAGTTCATTAGTACCTCGTTTTTCTTACACATATTTTGCTCTTTTTGTTGGGAAGTGGGATTGAAAAATGGAGATTGGCAAATGGTCCTCTATTTGGACCGAACTTGACGTATTACTTTAAGTTGGAAAGTTAATGAAATAACTAACCATTTTAAGGTTTGTAAGATTCATATAAAATAGTAAATCATCCATTCCCATTGTAAATCACCAATTCTACTGACAACATGTCAATCAAAAGTAGTTCTCTAGCTTTGTAGGACAAGAAAATGAAGATAGCTGTTTTAGGATCAGGCCAATATAAGACACATTGCACTAAATAAACGGATACAACTAATTTATTGAAAAAGAAAATAACATACAACTTGTGTATTAGGATAACTTTTTTATCTAACCTGAGCATATTGTTCTCTCTGGCTAATTTTTTCCATGATTTGAATTGAGCTATTTCTTTTTCCTAACAAAATGGTAAAGGTGCAAGTATTTATTGCTGTAACTAGTCAGAAAATGCATGAAAGTAGTTACTCACAATTGTCTCCTTCCAAACCATGAGATCCTTGACAACTAATTTAGTATTCTCCAGAAGCAATGACATTCTAGCCATCTTTTTTTCGAGATCCGGTAGAAGTTTCCCTTGTCGTCGGTTCAATTCTTTGATATAATCCTCTAGCACAGATAATTTAGTCTCAAGTGACCTCATCTTCTGCATCAAGATCTTCAGGACAGTGTCACCAGGTAGTCTACCGTTCAGCTGTTGTCTAGCTTCAATTACAGGATTAGGAAACTTATTTAACATTCGTGAGAACTTTTGCAACCTCTAGAGCAAGACTTGCCTGATCATCCATACTTTCTCTCCATGCACCGGTAGTCGATAAGTTAATGTCATCGTTGTCTATTTCATTAACTGAACCAACATCTGATTTGAAGAAGTCAACACGGTTGAATTAGGCTCTTCGTCTGAAGAGGTGACAAAGAGATCTTCAAGCATCCTCTCCATGACATCCACACCATAAACCTCTACTATACTCATTGTGCAGTAAAACTCTGATCCATAATGACTAAGAACATCCAACTTTAAGTACCTAACCCATTTTGGTTCAGGAAGCTTGAAGACTTGAGCATGTTTTACATTGGCAGCAACAACGTTTCCCAATTTAGGCCATGTCTCCGTTGGATAGCTCAAACTGCCAGACAAATTGAATGCCTTGAAATTAGAAGAATAATGTTCAATCACAGCATCGACTAAGGTCTCTTCTGAGAGCTCAATCACAACATACTTTTCTCCCACAGAACAAGGGTTTCTCAGATACTTATCATGGTCTTTCCCCAATATATTACATGCTCCTTTTGCTTCCTTGTTATGAGCAACAACCTTTGCACCTTTCGATGAAGATGCATAGTTGTAATCTGATCCATCCGGTTCAAGCCGATGAGTAATGTTAACTAATTGATCAGGCATGTCGCCTTCTTTATCTTTCATCGTAATGTTGCGAAATTCGTCCAAATTAAGATATGTGGGGTGAGCACTTCTGCCACTAGGACCTTCCTGATGTTCTGTTGAGTTTGGTTTCTTCTCTGACTGTTGTACTTTGCACATTAAAGATGGATATCCAAGTGCACTCAAGACTGCTACTTCAAATACCTTTGACTCTGAAAGTGAGTAATTTGAATTTGCATAGTTGTGATGAACATAGGATTCATTACAGTTCATTGACACATTGAGTTCAGACGATCCAGAGTTCATACAACTGCTTCCATTTGCTATGGATGAATAGGCGTGATCATCTAGCTTCTGATTTCCAGGACTAGGGCAAATAGCGCTTCTATTCACAGAAGAAGAATCTCCTGGAAAACATGACTTCAGTCACTCCAACCTAATTTAAGGTACAAGTACAAGGAATCAACCTTTCAAAACCATTTCCGAGCGAGAAACTATTGCAATCATCATCAAACAGAGAACTTCTAAACAAAGAAACGCCTAGATAAACCAATTCAAAACGATTCTTATAGCGTAGAGAATCATTCACTTTTTCCTTGTGAGACCTAGGAATTCGGATTAAAATTCAAGCCATCCCCTCGATAACAACATATTTGCGTAATAATTATGGGAAAACAGAAGGAAAGCGAAATCACATTATCAATAAAACACTCAAAGATTGTGAAAAGGTAACATTAAGATCCAAACTGTGTTAAACAATCAACTAAGCAGTATCCTCCATTCTGTTCCACAAAATCGTTCTACGAAAGATGAGTCAGAACATAGCGCAAAAGAAGAAAAGGACAGTTCAGTTAAAACAGCAAGAAACCAAAATAAAAATCCAGAAGAAGAAACAAATTGAATTGAAGGATTGTACCAGAATCACCATAACCAAGGACGAGCTTGGAATAGAACAAGCAGACGAAACAAGAGAGGGAAAAGAGAAAAGACCAGAAGAAGTCGTATAAACTCGTCCTCTTGTTAACGCAGTTGTTTTGGTTTTGATTGTTGTTGACGACGATTCCGCCACTGTTATGATTTTTCTTGCTATTTCTAGCCCTCTTCTTACTCCGGTATCTAATGCACAACAGATCATCTCGCGAAACCTCCATGTTCAACCACAAACATGCGAGAGTTCGATCAGTGGGTAGAGGAAGATGAGAGAGAGCGTTTCTTCAGTGATGGGAAGCTTGGACATGGAAATGCAATCGCCATGGATTTTTGTTTGTGGCTAATTCATTGCTCTCAACTCCAGAACTACCGGAAACTACTTTCTGCCATTTGAAATTCAGTTTTTTTTTCTTTTCTTTTTTCTTTTTTCTTTTTTCTTTTGGGTATTATTAATCAAAAGAAAAGCAGATGATTTATTCATAATTTTTTCGTTAATTTTTTTTGCTGACGTGGATAAAAGAAAATAAAAAGAAACTAATTTTTAAGATAAAATAAATGGATATTGGGTTTTTTTGTGTTAATGTAAATCACTTTGAAAATGAACCAAATTAGCCATGGAGAAAATTATGTAGAAGGGGCTGATATTATATCTGTCCTCAACTAAAACAATGCATTTAACTAACAATCACTGGAGATCAACCATAATAAAGAGGCTACTCCCACCAGTTTCTTGTCTCTGTTTAGACAGAAAATTACACTTTCTTTCTATTATATATAGCTTTTAAAAGGGATTCTCATGCGTTCTTCAAGAAAGATGGAGCTTCAATTTGCAATTGTGTGAGGACAGAATTTGAGCTAAATCAGAAACATAGTTGCTTACTGAATATGGAACTCCCATGTCGGATTCCTAACCAGCACCCCTTCGACAGCTCGAGAAATGAAATGACGTCGATTTATGTTAATCAACGCCCTTCCGCTGTGCTGATTCTACATACTGTTCTGCAAGCTTCTTCACCTTTTCACCCTCTTTGATAAGAAAATTTGCATTCTTATCTTTGGAATGGTACTTCATGACCTTCTCGGTGGTTTTTTGGACTGCCCATCTGTATTGTTCGGGTGTTATGATCCCACTCTTGCACAGAGGTCGGACGTGCTCCTTGATGTATGTTTCGACCTGCATTGAGTTATTCTCCAAAGATTATAATATTTGAGGCATTATTCGATCAGTTCGATGTAAAAAAATAGAACGATGGTTCAGGGGTGAGGGATAAAGTGATGAAAGAAATCGACCTTCTTAGCTACAGAGTTGTTGCTATCAGACTGCTTATTGTCATCAGCATTGGATTTCCCCTTCTTGTGGGGAGAACCCTCTCCAGAAGTGGGGATTGGAGAAACAGTGGTGGCAGCTGCTCCTTTTACACTCTCCTCACGTTTAATGTCCGATTCATTTCCATCTTGAATTAGCACAGAACTTCCATCATTGGAAGAATCTTTCTGCTCGGAACCAAATGCTGGAGTAGGCACACAACGCTCGTCTGTTGGAGTTTCACCTGGAAGATTCTTAATTTGTGGCTCTGTGTCAGGTCCATAGAGTTCTTCATATTCTGCCAAGGAAGGTTCTTCAACTTCGGTACTATTCAGAGGAACAGCAACAGAGCCTTCATTCTCACCCTCTGAAGGGGCTGTTCCGGCCTCCACATTAGTTTCATTTTTCGGCAAACAAGAAGCATCCTTCAGAAGTTCAACACTCTCCGTTCCCTCAGACTTTTCGGCATCTGACGCCTGAATCGAACTTTCAGTGTTTAGGGTGGAAAGAATAACTTTCAATTTTGATTCGCCTTCATCTGGTGGTTTCAAAACCTTGGTGGTAGCTTTCGTGGTGAAGCAGCTTTCTTCTTCTAGATCGTACTCAAAATCACCATAGATATCCAAATCTGGATGGTCATCCATTTCTATTACATTTTCAGGTTCATCGTCTTGCAAGTCTTTCATTGGGGCATCATCATCATCGACTTCAGTTCTGTGTGGAGGGCTACTCACAGGTGAATCAGATAAAAGACCTGCATTTCTTAGTGCTTCTTGAACTTCAGGATCTGTTTCTGGATGAGTGGCTAGTTCAGTTCCATCAATCTGATCATTTGCCTGGAATGAGGAATCCAAATCTGCTGCTGCTGTATTTAATCTGCCAGTGTCAGTGCGATGCAATATCTCCTGAGAACAAAGATTAAGATATACAACTTTGCTGTTTGACCTATCAGCAACCTCCTTTTCTATGTTAATGGCATCTGCAACGGCCAACTCTGTCTCTGCTGTTCTGCGCATGACCGTCAAATTTGTTTTCTTCAAGAACTGCTCCGTCAGGCGGTAAAGCTGAGCCTGTGCATAAGTTGCAATAAAAGGAATGAAAATAAACGAATAACTTGAGGCATTCAATCAACTTAAACAACAAGTACAACAGTTGGCCACCATCAGATGTATTAAATGGATGGTCTACAGAAATCAACGAGAAGGTTCTTGAACCAAGCGCTCAATTGAAAAAAATTGCCGCAGACATTTAAAGGATACTCGAGGACCATTAGTAATATAGCAACTGAGGTGTATATTTAAAATTAATGGCTTCAACACAAGGATCCACCACACAACATAATCACTATTAATTTAAAATTTCGAAAAGATCTTTTGACAGTTTTAACTAAAGCATTTTTGGAGTCTTAACTTGAAGAGAAAAGAGAACTTTCAGTTTTAACCGCAAGGGGGAGCCTTTTGGCTCGAAACATTTCTATGACTGCTTTATCATGGTGAAAATGATACTCTCCCATTAATAATTATAGACATCTTTTGGCCAATGAAATGAACCTTTTGTAATTCCTCCCCTTTCTGTAATTGTTCATCTTTCCATTACAATTTGTTTCCTATCCAAAGCAAACAAACAGAAACTAGCAGTTTTATTGAATAACAGAAGATGTAGCATCCAAAGCAATGGTCAATAAACTCTCCATTTCCTGATAGAAGCTCTCTCTCATTTTTCAAATAATTTTTTTCCTTATTTGGTCAATATGGCACTTGGAAAACTCTTTCTAAGCACACACGAAGAGGGAGAAAAGTCATTTTTAAACTTTGCAAAGAAGTAATATTGTCAAAGCACAAAATCTTCCGCACCTGCCTTACTGACATGGGAATTTTATTGTGGCGACTGGGTTCCAATTTTGGTCTCATGTCTATTGGTAGCCGAGCCTGTTTACAGAAACAAAACACGACCATATGTTTCAAAATTCAGACATACAAAATATTATATTAAGTTCCGCACAAGAAACTGAAAATACATACTAGCAATGGATAATTTCCTTTAAGCACAGCCAAGTCTTCGTCCTTTTTGTTTGCTGCACTGGAACCATCACCAGTTTTCCTAGCAAGAACTTCTAGGGCCCATTTTCTTTTATCAATTGCATTATTGGATGTAGAAGAAACAGTATTCTGTGGTCTAATCTTAGAACCAACTGATGCTTCTGAGTTTCCACTATGATTTCCTTTACTAGAACCCGCAGCACTCTTTGAGGCAGACACGGAACAACTATTCCCTGCATTTACTGCTAGAGGAGGAATACCAGCCTTCGTCGGAACCTTACTAGTCCCTGTGAGTGGATCTTTCTTCTGATCCAAAGAAGAGGAAGATTTGAAAGCCGAGAGAGGCTTGATGTCATTATTCCGTGGGAAGACGGATGTATCTGCTACATATAATCGAGAAAGAATCGGATTTGTGGGCTGGCCTTCAGAATCTTGTTTTGCATCTGGACTCGGACCATTTCTTAAGAGGTCAAGGACGGATTTCAAAGTTGCAATCTTTTCGGGCTTTCTCACTCTTATGCAACGATGCTTCCAGAATTCAATTTCACAGTCTCGGTCCCAAGCACGCTTCCTTCTTCCATTAGTAGCCCCATATATTTTCTTTGTCAGACTCTCACGTATTTTCCCCTTTTGCAATAATGATTTTTTCGCCTTCACAGCCAAAGCTGATAATCTTTTCTGAGTCTCGGTTTTAGGGCCTGATATTGCAGCCCTGAACGCATCAAGTAGCTTAGAATCCAAAAGGTTTTCCCCAAAATCTTTTGCGCATTTGTTGCGAACTGCTTCTCTTATTTCATTTCTTAGTTTCTGAACTAGCATGGATGATTCCTGATCCTCGCCAGCTCTTCTCATGATCTTTTTGACTCTCAAACCAGTCAAATTTTCTCGCTCATCCAACTCTTCATCATTAGAATTTGAGCATGCCCCCCTTCCTGGAGGGGGCCTGCGGTTTCGGCCCCGAACTATACTCATTATATCAGCATTGACACCTTTCTTTCTTGATATTCGCTTCAAGCTGGCTTCTGTAGGAACTAATGGCCTAGCCAAACTCTTTGCAGTATCATCTTGCTCAGTTAGCTCCACATCATTTTTAGAAGGAACTGGTTGATTCTTCCCCAGAACAAGTTTTATATCAGAATTGGCTTTATCACCTCCATTATCAGCAGTCTTCTGGATGTGATCACTGAGGGATTTCAGGAACCATCATGACAACAGATTATAAGATTCAAATTTAATCTAAATGGAATTTGTAGAATATAAGTCAAAGAAGCATGTACATCTAAGTAGATTTCAATTAGCATTGGTCAAAAAGTGCACTTGAAACACAATTCATCAACGATAGAGCTTCTGGAGCAAAACAAGAGTACGTTTGGAGATCAAAGGCTTATTAAGCCTGAAGTTCTTAATGGGCAGTAAAAACTTAATATTTTGGTTTGGAACGGTTAACTTTCTTTTTCATCCAGAGATGGGAGGTCAAGAATAAACTGAGTATCAGCTCCTAAAGCGAAGGAAGCTAGTCAATTCATAAATTAAGTGAGTTGGCATCAAAAGTCAGAAATTAAGTGGGTTAATGTTGATATTGTGTTAGGCGAGACAAAAAAAGAAAGAGAACAAAAAGTATTTACACCAATAGGCGAGACAAAAAAGAAAAGAAAAGAAGATAACTGTTATTAGATAACAACATTGAAACAGTCTGTAAACACATTGCGAGGAGCGAATTGCTGGGAACTTTTTTTTTTCTTAAGAAGCAGACTTTTCATTGATAAGCTGGAAACTTTTCTATAAATTTGCATTTGATAGTTTATAGAATTAACCTGCAATCTGTGCGTTTCCTCTTTACACCAACAAGTATAGATGCTTCCGGGGTGGTTTGAGATGCGATATTATCAACTGAAAATATCCAGAAAGAAGTGAGTACAGAAACACCACGAACTCCTTAGTTTCCAAAAACTACATAAAGAGGTAAAACAATTTGAACTTTTCTCTGGACTTGCAATAATTCCCAAAAGCAACAGAGGAAATACTTCCGTACCTTGTAACAAGTGTCCTTCTGAAGAAAACAACTCCGGCTTAACGTGAACACTTCGATCCCCATTTTCATCATTCAAGTAATCAACTAAAAATGCATTAAAAATAACAGCAATGAGCTAAGCCTAAACATAGAGATAAATTTCCTGTTGATTGATATCTTTAGATGGAAAAATACCAGACAAGAATGTGCCCACAGATAAACCAAGATGAAGACCCATGCTCAATTCATCTTTAGACATTTTGTTTACAGGGTGGGATATATTTGAAGAACTTCTGGTGCTTTCAAGGCTACTTGACTCGGTCTTAATTTCATCAGCACTTGTTTTCAACCCAACATCTGTAGGGGAATCATAATGAAAACTGATGGGAGTATCATGTGACAAAGAAAGTTCCAATTCTTTGTCTCCAAGTGCTGGAATAGCAGAAGTAATTTCCATTGATGGGGCTGGCAGAACGAGAGTATTCACCAATGGTGATACAGTGGCATTTGGCCTACTAGCTTCCGAAGCCAATATGAAATTTTCAATTTTTTTATTTTTTTCAATTTCATCGGTTGACAAAGTGTTATCAGTTTGTACTTCATTAACCTGATTTCCTCCAATCATTGAGACAACCAATGCTGTCTCTCCAGTATCAGCAACGGATACAGACACCTTTCTGGAAAAACTTTGTGGAACCGAAGCATTCATTGAATCAAAGTCACTGTTAAACTTCAGAACTGAATCATTGATAGAAGTTTCCTGATCAATAGCCCCACATCTGCAGGAAAACCATAATACAAATGTGAAAGACAAATAAAGAAGAGGCAAACCCAGGACTGGGTAAATCTGGGTTTAGTTTGAAGAATGTAATTTGAACTTGTAAGACTGGTCATTTTATAGAACTGGTTGAACTTCAAACATTTTTTCTAAAGGACCTACATAAATGCTATGTCAAATCTTATCTTCAATCACCTCGCATTTTAAAAACAAGGCTGAAAGAAGCATGCGCTGCACAATAATACTTAAATGCGGGGTTTATAAACTTATCAGAAAAAAGCTGAAAAAAAACTTTTCCTGCTCAATCAGTCATTGTTATTACATTTATAGTAGTTTCAAGCTTTTACAGTATGCATGAAAATCAGTCTGAATTAAACCAACAGTTATGAAGCATAAAGGAGTAAATCGATTACTCTGCATCCAATAATGGAAACTGCAAAATCTAGAAAGATAATAAAACAACAGTTTCTCTGACTAACCTTGGGCATAACCATGTACTTTCAGTTGTATCTTCAGGATCAAAATCAACACAGAATGCATGATACCTGTCCCCACACAATTAAAACATGAACTTATGGAATAAAAGTCAATATAATTCAGTTTTGAACTCAATCACATAACACAAATCAGTAAATCATGCTACATAATAATTTTGTATCCAAAACAAATAGAGATAATGGAGAGAGAAAAATGAACCCAAGGTATTAAATTGCCTTGCACCAATGTAAGGATGCGGGATGAGGAAGCTAACCCAGGGAAAAAAAGAGTTAATTAAATAATCAGTAATATCAAAAAAAAAAATAATAAAGAAAGAAAAAAGAAAAAGAAGCAACTCAGTTGACTACTTTTTTTGAAATTTTAAATGATGTGAATTGACGGAAGGGAACTCCAGCTGATCACACTAAGAAAGCACCCGAGTGTTGGAGATGCAATTGTTTCTTTCTAATCAGAACAAACAAAAGAAAGCTAAGAAATCCAGAGCCATAATGTTTCCTTTTCTTCTTGAATGAAGAGCCATTGTCAATAGAAAGCCTTGAGCCTTAAGGATGGTGCACCAAAACTCTGGAGCAAAGTTGCATTTAACAAAGATGTTGTCCTGAACTTCGTTACTATTTCTACATGGGACACACCATCAAGGCAATAAGGAGCAGTTCAACTGTCTCTTTTGGATCACCTTGTGAATTGATGCCACCTTTGTGACTAAGCTCCCAAAAAATATCTGATCTTCTTTGGGTATTTGAGAAGTTACAAGCATGGTTAAGAAAGGGATGCTTGTTATTGGAAATAACACCGAACAAAGGCAATCATAAATATATTATATATGTAGATCATATGCTTAAACATGCATGCAAATACATGTATATATGCACATGAGAACATATGAATATATACATATGCAAGCATCAATGCATGTGTGTACTACAGGCCGAATGCTCCAACTTTACCATGTATCACAAGAGTCACAAGCAATTGAGGTATCAAGATCAGATTCTCCTTCAGTAAACCCAGATCCATTTCTAATCTTACAGCCATCACCATCCAAGCAGATAACTGCCTACAAAATGAAGCAGTACATTAGTAATTATACATCGGACTTTCAATTATTCAATACTATAATATAACAGTAAAAGTGGGTAAACATTTTCCAGGGCAATAAAGTTTCCATCCTTTATTTCTAGTAAATTTGAAAAAAAAAAATTTAGTGGTGTACCAAATTTGAAATTTCTAGGGCAATATTTATGTGAACGTTACTCGTAATAATACATGATCAATCTGAACTAAATCTCCTTCCTAATATTAATAATTTATTACCTCACATCTTTTAAACTTTAGCATATAAAGAAAATAATATGGATATTCTGAGTAGACAAGTATTTGTTTCAATTGAACTACTTATTTCCGTAACTATTGCTTTCGTTTCTTTTTTTTTTTTTTTTTTTTTTTTTTTTCGAAAAATGAGAATTGCATTAGAAGGA